ACTTTCCTGATGTTTTCTGGCCTCAGGTGTTAGTTTCAGGTCATACTGAATTAAACACAAAGATCATTTCGTAAATTATGGTCCTTATCGAGTAGCATTTACACAGGAGGCAATTTCCTCATCACATATCGCTTTGTTGCTGGCGGTGATTCCAGGTAACCTAGGCAACCCTATACTTGATTTACTTTAGTGTCATATGTCAGTTAACAGAATCATCTGCTGTCATTGGTTGGCATTTTCATGGCTCACCTTCAAATAGAGAAATGTTTAATGCAGGACCGCCCACTATATGTCACTAACCGGTTATTACGCCTGTCGTTGCTGCATGTCGTTGACTTTCCATGGTCTCTGCTGCTGGTCGCATCCTGTATGGATGCCCTTTTAGAGTCTGGAATGTGTGTGTGGTTTTATATCCGGTTTTCAAAACACCCTTCATAACGAGACTTGGCTAACGCTTTGGGGTCTGTGGTAAAACATGAGTAAAATCTAGATTTCCACACTAGAAATAGTCGTGTAGACTACTCGTTTATCTTATTTGAATATCCAACAAAGCCCTCGCAAGTGATCCATGCTGCATAAATGCATGTGCATGTTGCGCTGATGGTGCATGCAAGATCACAGTTTCAGAAAATGTAATAAAGAAGTATAATTAGAGTTTTAGACCCAACAGTAAAATAAAATACAAATAAACCAACCACCCTCACCAAATGAATTCTGGGGTCCTTGAAATTTGAAGTTAATAGTAATGGCAGATAAATATAAACAGATAAATGCTGGTAAAAAAGTCAAATCAAGACCAGACTGGAGATCTAAAAGGTTAACCCGACCTTGGAACTGTTTGCTTGCATTCCTGTAAGCTGTGTGTCCGAGTCAAATAAATAAAATTCAGCCGAGCGTTGTGCATGTCGTCCATCTGTGAGGCGGCATCTGGAGAGCAGAGGAGAGGACGGACGAGGGAGCGAGGAGGCCGTGGGTCAGCGGCCAAAAACAAATAAATAAATAAATACGTAACAGCTTCATGGTCGCCGAAAAGGTCTGAGGACAGAGGAAACTAAGCAAACGCAGCAAAGAAAATCCAGAGAGCCTTGTTTACACTGACGCTCAAACCACTGCTGGATTCATTCTGAGGCTCTTTTTTTCTCTGAGAGAGGAAACTGAGTGTTCACACAGCTGAAGGTCAGTCATCACTAAAGTCTGTTTCATGCAAGAGAGCCAATGAAGACGCATTTAAAGCTCAAAGATGTCACGGTGATATTTTGAGAGGTTAACTCGTGCAACTGCAAGAAAAGCCAGCAAGTGCTGACCGTTAACTTCAGACAAATTCCTCCTCTTTCATTTTCCTGAACTTCAGACTGCCACGGCTCACTTTCCTTTAGGTTTTCATGATTTCATTTTTATCTTCTGATGCTTTACCAACTGTACTTGATTCACCTTTGCTTTACCTATTCACTTCTTTTCAGCTGTTGGGCCTGAAAAAAGAACATGGTAAATAAGTCTGTTTTAAATCTCGTAACCTTGTGTTAAACTTAATTACCAAACCATCATTTAAGATTACAGAAAAAGAAAAAACCTGATGTTATAACCAATCCCAGAAGGTTTATCCCGCCTACAGAAATATCTGATTGGTTTTATAGCACAAGTAAAAGCCAATTAGCCGATTATGGTGAGTTAAGGCAGCGTCAGCAGTATCGGCTACCTGTAGCTTCAGGATGTGAAAAGTGATGCCGACATGGGAACGACTTACACTTGCACTATTCACCCTGCAGGGGGCGACTCGTCAGGCTGCAATAAGATCCCTGTTGTCTATTAGAAAATGA